AAACTGTTCCTAAAGGGCTGTGTGCCTATAGCACCTGACTCAGTAAATACCGATATATAAAACTCAGACGCAGAAAAAAAACGCAGAATGTACCAAAGGAGTTCAATTAAATACAATTCGAACAAACAAGCAATACATCACAAACAAGAGAGGGATGCAAACACAACTCTGATTTGGAGCTCGAATTCGCACTCCCGATCGGCTCGGAGACATGCTGATCTTCCTGTCAGAAACAGTGACCGGAATCAAAGGCAGATGATACCGTTCGAACATTCGAACACTTCCCGTGCTGTCATGCGCATTCTTCCCTTCAAGAAGAGATCCACGGGACGGGATTTTAGGCATAAACTCACATATTTTGTTTTTATTTCGAGTCCCTCTGATGATGCTACATGGTTCGTGTGGTAAGAATATGTAGTAGTCTTAGAATCAGGATGCGTTAAGAATATGAATAACGCCTAAACAGGCGTTAATTACGCAGCTTACAGTTCCTCTGGGGAAACACAATGAAGATGATGTTTTACGTTAATGCATGTGTCAACAAATTGTCGAAACGATACACAGACAGTGGTAGAAGTATATACACAGTGGTAGTAATAGTAGAAGGTACACAGTAGTAGTAGTAGTAGATGTACAAGGTACACAGTAGTAGTAGTAGTAGGTGTACAAGGTACACAGTATTAGTGGCATGAACACAGTTTTGTTGATATCTGATATTTCTCACCACTTATGTCTCTGACCCTTCCCTCGTCCCTTCAGCCTGCGTTCCTAATCCATCATACCTTCCCCACCTATCCCTAATCACTTATTATTTCCCCTGTAACCATTATTAATGACCTTCAAGGCTTCACACAACGATAGTGAATTACAGCGTTTGACTCGCTTCTCCCCCGCTCTCTCTCTCTCTCTCTCTCTCTCTCTCTCTCTCTCTCTCTCTCTCTCTCTCTCTCTCTCTCTCTCTCTCTCTCTCTCTCTCTCTCTCTCTCTCTCTCTCTCTCTCTCTCTCTCTCTCTTCCATATCTTCCACATGATGGCATCATACGACTAAAATATTCATGAAATCCCACTACTTACAAGCCAGGAAGCGTTATATGAAATTACAAGAGCAGGAAGTCAGATAAGCTGCTCCGTATCGCACCCTAAAGTGGAAGTTTAATTTATAGAGACTCAGTGTGCGAGTGCATCTATGTGCTAAGATTGTTTTGGAGAACATTACATATGACACACACTCACAAAGAGACCAAAAGAGATACACACTGACCAAAGAGCCAGAGCTCAAACCCCGCAAGCACAAATAGGTAGGTGAGTACCCACACACACACACACCCACACACACACACACCCACACACACACACACCCAGTTGATAAGGGAGTACCTAAGCAATAGGAAGCAGAGAGGTACAGTGAGGGGTGAGACCTCAGAATGGCGTGAAGTCACCAGTGGAGTCCCACAGGGCTCTGTGCTTGGACCTATCCTGTTTCTGATGTACGTAAATGATCTCCCAGAGGGTATAGACTCATTCCTCTCAATGTTTGCTGACGACGCCAAAATTATGAGAAGGATTAAGACAGAGGAGGACAGCTTGAGGCTTCAAGAAGACCTGGACAGGCTGCAGGAATGGTCGAACAAATGGCTGTTTGAGTTTAGCCCAAGCAAATGTAATGTAATGAAGATAGGGGTAGGAAGCAGGAGACCAAATACAAGGTATCATTTGGGAGATGAGATACTTCAAGAGTCAGAGAGAGGGAAAGACCTGGGGGTTGATATCACGCCAGACCTGTCCCCTGAAGGTCTTATCAAGAGGATAACATCAGCAGCATATGCCAGTTTGGCTAACATAAGAACGGCCTTTAGAAACTTGTGTAAGGAATCTTTTAGAACATTATATACCACATATGTCAGACCAATCCTGGAGTATGCGGCTCCAGCATGGAGTCCATATCTAGTCAAGCATAAGACTAAACTGGAAAAGGTTCAAAGGTTTGCCACCAGACTAGTACCCGAGCTGAGAGGTATGAGCTACGAGGAGAGACTACGGGAATTAAACCTCACTTCGTTGGAAGACAGAAGAGTTAGGGGGGACATGATCACCACATTCAAGACTCTCAAGGAAATCGACAGGGTTGATAAAGACAGGCTATTTAACACAAGGGGCACACGCACTAGGGGACACAGGTGGAAACTGAGTGCCCAAATGAGCCACAGGGATATTAGAAAGAACTTTTTTAGTGTCAGAGTGGTTGACAAATGGAATGCATTAGGAAGTAATGTGGTGGAGGCTGACTCCATACACAGTTTCAAGTGTAGATATGATACCTGTACACCTGTTGATTGACGGTTGAGAGGCGGGACCAGAGAGCCAGAGCTCAACCCCCGCAAACACAACTAGGTGAGTACACACACACACACACACACACACACACACACACACACACACACACACACACACACACACACACACACACACACACACACACACACACACACACACATGAATTAAATATTATTAACTACCCTACTGTGATTTTCATGAGAAAGACCTCAAGATCACCATACTGTCTCTTGAACTTGAAGTGGCAGCTAAGAACATTCACGAGAATACGGAAATATTTGTCGAAAGAGGAAATACTTTTCCTCTTATGACCAGAAGAGGAAAAGATGTATATAATGTACATCTAAAGATGTACTTTCCTCTTTCCTATTTTCCCACTTTTTAATTCAGCAGTAGAATCCCTAGTTTTGGAATTCGAGCCAGGCAGTGACAAGACCTGACCAGAAAAGACCTAGCAAGACCTGGAGATTAACAGGAAACCCACTTGGACTGATCATCAAGCAGATATGCTGTTGAACAGAACGTCCTTGAACCTAAAACCTGACGTTTACAGTAAATATATAGACGACATATTCCCACAGACACCCCCCCTGACGGTGAGGACTTTGCTACAGCTCAGGGAGTCATTCTCGCGAAGTTCAGTGCTAACGCTCACTAACGAGAGTGAGAGTGAATGTAAGCTGCCATTCTTAGATGTAAGCTTTCACACTGCCCTCTACACGAAGGGAACCAACACAGGAATGTGCGTTGTTGCTGGTAATGAATGCCCTGACACGTACGAGTAGGGGATGTCAACTATGCTCTCACACACACATATCTCCAGATGGAAGGAGGTTGAAGAGGAACTCGATTGAATAAAGACGATCCTAGTCCATAATGTATATTATAACGGATACGTCCAATATATAATTCAAAGAAACCGCCATGTTGCCTTACACGAGACAGTAAACAGTACAATATATATTGTACAGAAACATTTTTTTCTATGGCTCACAGAATCTCTGTTCTGCCCTCATTGCTGTTGACTCATGCACTTATCACTACATGAATGCTCTCATCTCGTTAGCAACCGTCAAAGGACTGAACTATCTGTCTCTCTGTGCTCGCCTCTCTCTCTTCTCTCCCTATCTCTTTGTGTCTCTAATTTGATTTTAATTCTCATTTTCTTTATTTTATTTATACTTTGACGCTTCTTCTCTTATCTGCCTACTTCATGTGTTTTTTTTTTCTTCATCTCGTAGGGATGAAAAAAAAAAGCCTTCGCTCAGCTTTCATGCTTTCCGTTTTCCACTGACATTTCATCTCCTCTCAGTACTTCTCACCTCCTCTCATTACCTTTCACCTCCTCTCATTATCCTCTTACATCCTCTCATTATCCTCTCTTGCCTTATAATGACTCCCATCTATTTTTAAATTTCGATTTGTTAAGATTCCAGGACTGAAAGAAAAATAGCCACTTTCCTTTCCTTTCATTTTACATCTTTCATTTCACATCCAAGTGCTATATAGTCGTAATAGCTTGGTGCTTTTTCCCTGATACTTAGCTGAACTTCTTATATGTTGGCTTAGTTACTGGTTCTCTGCCACGTTACTGGGACTGAAAATATTCATATTAGTATATTTGGGAAGTATATTGATATACTCGTCATCAGAAATTCGATTAAAACATGTCATTATAGTGTATATATGGTCAACTGTAATTTTATATTTTTGGGGGACAATTTTCACCACGAAAACCCCCCAAAATATATGATATTGGTTTCAAGGTTGAGCGCACAGCAGACCCCTGGAAATTGTAAGTGGGGGCGTATTTACATTTTTATGGCTCGGATTCTTTTAAATTGCAGGAGAAGCGTATGTGTAATGGCGATGTAGGCGGTGAATGTTAAGCATCAGCGCTGGTGGGCCAAGATGGAAGGATAGTGTGTTGCAGCTGAGTTGTGTTGAGTGTCTTCTTATGGTGTTGCGAGAGCGTGTATTGCAGCCTGTTTATTTGTGTTGGGCATTGGTGCTGGTGGTGTAAAAGAAAAACTAGTGTATTGTTATGTTGACTGTATTGCTGCTTAGTTGGTTGAGTATCTTCTAGCAGCGTTGCAAGAAGGGAGGATAGGGTGTTGTTCCCGGCTTGAGCGAGTCATGTGTCGGGACGAAATGGAACGCGTGTCATGGTTTATTAGTTCCAACAACCCTGTGTACTTATCAAGAGGGAAACAACGATTATCTTGTTACTTGTGTATTCACTTGTCACAAAGACAAACAACTTTATAACATGAGAACTTATTTGTTTCAAGAAACTAAAAAAAAAGAATTCCCCATCTGAATTAATTATGTATAACAAGGACATACGAGTCATCTTAAGGTGTGCTACTTATCTTTAACAACAAAGCCAGACACGCTCAATAGCTGTGCAATTGCAAGAAACAAATACACAGCAGACACCCTAATACTGCAAGTATCCGTACTACACTGCCAAACAGAACGATAACCAGTACGACTGCACACAATTGTTGATCTAGGAGACAAGATGGGGGCTCAGAACATATGCATAATTACAGCATTATAAACAAGATCTTTTGGTCCGCTTAAGGCATTTAGACTTCTGTGATTCATGGCTGGGGTCTCACTCCCAGCATCCCTCACCTATTGCATCTCTCTCTCACTCGCAGCATCTCGTCTCATAACTCGCTGGCGTCGTGCTCTGTGTCGTCGGGGCTCGTGCAGCCGTCGCCGTCGGCAGCGTCGGGGTTGGCCGCTCTGCACGCAGCCTGTCCTCTCAAACGGTGCGTCCACAGACAGAAGTCCGGGGAGGAGGTCAAGCAGGCTAGGAAACAGGTACGTTACGTGATCTGTTTTGTATGTGTGTTTTTATCTAACAGTATATTGAAATATCTGCTATACAAAGCTGTGGCTATGTGGTTATTGATGTGGTTAGCTTATACACACACACACGCATACATACACACACACACACACACACACACACACACACACACACACACACACACACACACACACACACACACACACACACACACACACACACACACAAGAGGACTTAAACAGGCTGCAGAGATGGTCAGGGAAATGGCTACTGGAGTTTAACACCAGTAAATGTAAAGTTATGGAAATGGGATCAGGTGACAGGAGACCAAAGGGACAGTACACAATGAAGGGGAACAGCCTACCTGTAACGATTCGAGAAAGAGACCTGAGAGTGGATGTGACACCTAATCTAACTCCTGAGGCACATATAAATAGGATAACGACAGCAGCGTACTCTACACTGGCGAAAATTAGAACTTCATTCAGAAACCTAAATGAGGAAGCTTTTAGGGCGCTTTACACTGCCTACGTGAGACCCGTCTTAGAGTATGCCGCGCCATCATGGAGCCCCCACCTGAAGAAACACATAAAGAAACTGGAGAAGGTTCAGAGGTTTGCGACGAGGCTTGTCCCAGAGCTACGAGGGATGGGATATGAAGAGCGGCTGAAGGAACTGAACCTTACGACACTAGAGAAAAGAAGGGAGAGAGGAGATATGATAGGGACATATAAAATACTCAGGGGAATTGACAAAGTGGAAATAGATGAAATATTCACACGTAATAATAACAGAACGAGGGGACATGGGTGGAAACTGGAAACTCAGATGAGTCACAGAGATGTTAGGAAGTTTTCTTTTAGCGTGAGAGTAGTAGAAAAATGGAATGCACTTGGGGAACAGGTTGTGGAAGCAAATACTATTCATACTTTTAAAGCTAGGTATGATAGGGAAATGGGACAGGAGTCATTGCTGTAAACAACCGATAGCTAGAAAGGCGGGATCCAAGAGTCAATGCTCGATCCTGCAAGCACATATAGGTGAGTACATATAGGTGAGTACACACACACACACACACACACACACACACACACACACACACACACACACACACACACACACACACACACACACACACACACACACACACACACATTTTTGTAGTTATATAACTCCACTCATAATTCTAAAACTAGATTGAATACGGACATATTGTGTCAGCAGTCATTCCCTGAAACTACCGGTGACTAGTAAGGCGGGGTCCAAGCACTTAATAATCTGTACCGCAGGAACAAACAGGTGACTCACTTAGGTGAGTACATGCCCGTGTTCACAGGAAGGAAGACACACCCAATATTGTTGTGTAGGCGGCAGCAGCCAAATGATATTAACTATTTTCGAGAAAAAAAAATATATTATGTATCAAGGGAGTAGAAAGAGTTCAAACGATGATTGACACACGGGCCGAAAAGCCTTTGATAATGATCGCTCGTCAAGAGTTTCCGGGCAGGGAAAGTGGGTGGGTTTAGGTGGGTGGGTGGGTGGGTGGGCAGATAGGCAGGGGGGAGAGGAACCAGTTGGAGAGGGGTAGAGGGGGGGTAGGTAGGCGGCGTTGCTGGTGGAGCTGATGAAAGTAATGGAAACCATTTTAGCGAAACCGGCAATATATCCATTGAAAATTTCATCGTCGCTTAGCCAGGTGATGAAAAAATAAATTATTTTGCAACGTAACTAAGTGGGAAAAATGTCCTTAAGTATCCACTTAAGTATTAACTATCCACCCAGTCCTTGGTGGGATTGGGTGGTTATAAATAGGAGCTGCCTCGTATAGGCCAATAGGCATCCTTCAGTTACCCTTATTCTTATGTTATTATCGCTATAAGACAATACCTGTCTGTCCAAAATTGGAGACCAGGCGCATTTTTGCTAGACTCTCGTGCATAGGGCACGAGACGGACATAGGCTAGTCTGGGTAGGCCTAAGATAAATGTTTTAAGAAATATTAGGAATCATAAACACCCCCTCGGCCATTTATATAGTCTGTCATGGAGACAAGTGTGAAATATGAGGTGTGAATACCGTAGAGTTGACAATGAAATTGCAAAAATATGTGGAAAAGGAGTCGAGGAGAGAGGAAAAACAAGGCATCTGAGACCCATACATTTCGTTCAGTGCTTCTGGAGGGAGGGGAGGGGGGTGCAGGGGAAAATGAAAAGGGGTGGAGGACGAAGAAATACTTAGAGATAGGTAGAGAAAACGAGAGATAGGTAGAAAGAGAGCTAGGTAGGAATAGACAGAAGCAGAGAGAAATAGCGATAGGTTGACAGAGAAAGGTAGAAATTGGTTGAGATTGAGCTAGGAAGAGATAGTTCATAGGTATACACAGAGAAGCGTAGGTAGAGACGGAGATAGAGAGGAGAGAGACAGACACCCGGGCACCGCCGGGTACCCCTGCTAGTAATTTACTTAGTTATTACTCGGATTAATTGAACTTGAATAATTTGAAATTAATCGAACTTGAAAATGAATATCGAGGTGGACACAAATATGTATTATGTTAAATCACCACATTTTTCTGATCACATGATTATAACAATTGTTATTCGATTAAGCATAATGAAAACTCCTTCCATCCCTTTATATTTCTTCCTCATCTCTAATATGCTTCATTCACCTTCATTTTTTCTCTTCAATACCCCATATTTCTCATCCACTTCCTACGCTTACTTTCCCTTCGTTCTTCCATTACTATCTATGCCTGTTTTGTCCTTTCCATTCTTCTCTCTTCTTTCTAGGATTACTCTGATCACATACTTCCAAATGCAAAGAAAATGCAAAGGTAAAACAGGAACCAAAATAAGCAATCTCAACATTTAAACAAGATTTAGTGTGGTTAAAATTCCTAGCCAACACACAGCCCCTTCCCCCCCTTCCCCCCAGGGGGGCCTCGTAGCCTGGTGGATAGCGCGCAGGACTCGTAATTATGTGGCGCGGGTTCGATTCCCGCACGAGGCAGAAACAAATGGGCAAAGTTTCTTTCACCCTGAATGCCCCTGTTACCTAGCAGTAAATAGGTACTCGGGAGTTAGTCAGCTGTCACGGGCTGCTTCCTGGGGGTGGAGGCCTGGTCGAGGACCGGGCCGCGGGGACACTAAAAAGCCCCGAAATCATCTCAAGATAACCTCAAGATAACCCTCGTATAACCATAAGTATTATACACAAATCCCAGGACGCATATACCGGCCAGTTATGTTAGATAAGTATGTTCAAATCTTCCGTATTTGGCGACGATGCCTGCAGGAATACTGAGCTAATTAGTGCTGCGGGGAGGAAGGGGGAGAGAGAGGCAGGCAGGTAGAGGGAAGGGGGATAGCGAGAGAGTGGAAGGTAGATGGAGGGGAGGAGGGAAAGGACGATGGTAGGAATGGGAGCAACAGGGGAGAGAGAGAGAGAGAGAGAGAGAGAGAGAGAGAGAGAGAGAGAGAGAGAGAGAGAGAGAGAGAGAGAGAGAGAGAGAGAGAGAGAGAGAGAGTGAGTCTGGAACCATTGTCATCTGCAGAGCATCAAAGGGGGCGATCACACACAAACGAGCGTGCGTGTGCGCACGAACGTCCTCAGAAGAAGATCCTAAGCAAACACACGAAACACGATGAGGTGAATTGAATAGCACGGAGCTGAGAGAGAGGGAGAGAAAGCACAAAAAAATGGCAGTGGAAGGGAGGAAACTTTTGCAAGCAGTGACAAGCAGCACTCTACTAGCAACTGACTATACTTGTCCCCCCCATCCAATTTCTAATTGGCAATACGTTGCCGAACCTAACAGAGGGAACTGTCATATATATATATATATATATATATATATATATATATATATATATATATATATATATATATATATATATATATATATATATATATATATACATATGTCGATGTTCACGTGTGACGGCTACAGAAAGGGTCAGTATAAGGACCTGTATAAGAAGCTTCAGAATGCTTCAGCAGTTCTGGAAGACTCAGACATGCTACACAATGCTTCAGAAGAAGGTAAATGAGCAACAGGATTGGTGTAAGTGACGGCTGCGTTCATTCCTCCCAGAACAAATCCTGATAAGTTGAGTAGGGAGAGACAAGGAGAAGGAGACGCATGCTAACCAAACCATACACTACTCAGGGAAGTAACTAGGTGACAACCATGCGAGCAGTATTCTCTTGCATAATACATCAGGACGCGTTCAACTCATTATTCTCTCGCTTCCCATACATAAACAGATTTAAAACGCACAGCTCCTCGTGGAGCCCAAACCTACGAAAACTCAAATAAGACGAACAATTATTTTAGAAAATATGGCAAGTGGTAGGGATACGAGGACAGGAAAAGGTCTGGGATAGAAGCATGGAGTAAAAGTACTTTGTCCATCCACCTGGACCACCGGGATTCGAACGCTCGTCTGCGAGAAGCGTTGTCGACGCTGGATTCTCACACGAGTTTAAGGGATGACAGTAAACAATGTTTTAGAACAAGTGAATGGGATAGAATGGCAGGGTGGGATGGAATGTGTGTTGATGCTAAGATCGAAGCTTGCTCCAAACATAAATTAATCACCAGATATGATAAAAATCTGGAGGTCCAGGAAATTACTCCCTGTCCTGTATACACAAGTAGGTGGGTGCAGTTACATTACATACTTGCGTACATAAAAACAGACATGAAACGTGCAGACATAAAAACACATACACACACTCACAGTTGCAACTCTGTCTCTGTCTCTGTCTCTCTCTCTTAACTTCATTCTTAACTTCCATCTAATTCTTGTCTATTTAAATTACTCTGTTCCTCCCTCTCTTTTCCCTTCTGCAATACCCCTTCCCTCTAATTCCCTTCCACTCCCCGTTCCATCCCTTCCACCTCACACATTCCATCCCTTTCTAAATCCCTCCCTCCCTGCTCACCAAAATATTTTCCATCCCACTCCATCCCCAGACTTTCCAACGCCAGACTTGATCAATGCCACTCACTAATCCCCCCTGACGGTCCCTGGTATACTCCTGGCTTTGGGGGTATATCTCTCGCATACTCCCTTAGTCTTAATCGTTATATCGAGGATATCATGAGGTAGTATGCTCTGTGTTTTTATTAGCTTATTTGTTAGTGCCGTGGGAGGGGTTCCGTCCCTCTTTCTCACCGTTCTTCTTCTCTTTCTCTCTCACCTTTCCGTCTACTCCTCTCCCCATTATTCTCACCCTCTTATTTTACATTCCCTCGGTCTCCCAGTCTGCTTCTCTTTATCATCTTCCTTCCTCTTTCTTTCATCTTCCCTCCTTTCCTCTCCAGCTATCCCTTCCTTTACATCTTTTCTTCCCATATCTCTTTCCCTCTCTCCGACACCTCCCCTCTCTCTCTTCTCTATCTATTCCCTCCAACTTCTCCCCTCTCCCTCTGTATCTCCTCTTTCTCAGAAAATGTTATATTGCGAGGCACTGAAATATGATTAAAAACTCGCAGTACATCTGGTACCATCTTAACTGTACAGAACCACCATCAATATACCCATCTTCGCTACACACAACCTGCAACACTGCAACTATCTTCAATACACACGACCATCACTCATCACCACTACATGCTGTCTTCATCTATGTGTTTATCATCACTATAGCCGTCTACTACAGGAGTCCCCGCCCTATCAACCAACTTCCCACTTCTTCACCACCTTCCCTACCATTCACCACCTTTCCTACCCTTCACCACCTTCCCTACCCTTCACCACCCTCTCTTCCCTTCACCGCCCTCTCTACCCTTCACTGCCTTCCCTTTCACTCAAAATCTTCCTTTCCCTTCATCATCCTCCCTACCATTCATCCCCTTTCCGACTCTTCAACATAATGCCTACATCTCTGTAAACATTTCCACTAAGCGCTTTCATAATCACTAAATACGCTGCACAAGAGAAAATATCAAGTAATTATCACGTAGAATATAATAAGCTAGACGAATCTTAATGAGCAAAAGGCTCCGGCAATTACTATCATATGCCATTTCATGCAAAGGATAGACAACAGGGGTCAACCCTGACCCACCTATGACCATTCTCAACCAAAGACCATTCACCCTGCAAAGGTTGGACAATGGTCTTTGATCTAGCCTGTAATGTCTGACTCCTAACCCAGCTCAGAAACACATGAGGAGGTGTTTAACTTTACAGGTGAACAGTATGGTGATTATCATCTTGTGTTTGTACAGGTGATAAAAATGCTGATCTTGGTAATCATTCTCTTCATGGCGTGCTGGGGGCCCAAGATTGTCTTCTTCGTCTTTCTCAAGAACGGTCTTCCCCAGGAGTCATTTAAGCCCCTGGTCTACAACACCAGGATCTACCTGGGGCTTCTACCCTTCATCCACTCCTGTCTCAATCCCATCATTTATAGGTGAGCCCATCCATTTACACCTACCTTAATATATTTACAGGTGAGCCCCCTCTATATACATCTACCTTAATATATTTACAGGTGAGCCCCTCCATTTGCACCTACCTTAATATATTTACAGGTGAGGCCTTAATTCACCCCATCATTTACAGGTGTGTGTCTTTCGTCTACACCTGCCTTAAATCCATAATTTACAGGCGAACGTATCAACTCCGATCTATAAATTTTTGTTTGTCTTGTTTTCCGGTTCTTAAGTTTATTTTTAGTCGATGGTAAAACGCGTTATCCCGTTTTCTTTTACGTTCCCAGGGGGAGATCTTAGATGCAGCATTATTGTGGAGCATTGCGTGTTCTTGTGGCTATTTATCTTGTAGATTGTTTGACCTACACTGAAGTAGATTGTTTGACCTACACTGAAGTAGATCGTTTGACCTACACTGAAGTACATCGTTTGACCTACACTGAAGTAGATTGTTTGATCTACACTGAAGTAGATCGTTTGACCTACACTGAAGTAGATTGTTTGACCTACACTGAAGTACATCGTTTGACCTACACTGAAGTAGATTGTTTGACCTACACTGAAGTACTTCGTTTGACCTACACTGAAGTAGATTGTTTGATCTACACTGAAGTAGATCGTTTGACCTACACTGAAGTAGATAGTTTGACCTACCCTGAAGTAGAGTTAACCTACACTGAAGTAGTGATATGAACTCAGGTGAGTCATATCACCTGAGTCGCTGAGTTCATGTCATCCTGTCATCCTTACAGAGGCTCTGAGTAACCGTGTGGAGTCTGCAGAAAGTCTAGATGTCTTCTAGAAGACTGAAGGAGTAAAATCTCACGTCTTTGGAAGAGACATGATCACCCCATACCAAATACTCAGGGGAATAGACAAGGCAGACAATGACAAGCTATATGGGTTTTATTAGTACAAGAAAGACGGGGAGACTAAAAATATAAGTGTTCCATAGATATATTGTAAGTTATGTATCAGTCTGTAAATAAGGAATTAGAATTCATTCATAGATTCAAGTAGCGAACTTTAATAGACTTGGGAAACTATGCGCAATCGGTTAAATGTTGAGAGGCGGGTCCTGGAGCTTAAGTTTAACCTCCAAGACTCGCACATTTATTTGAGCGAAAACAATATATTTCCCCCTACAACATATACATATAAAAGAGAATGTCTGTTCGTCTGTCTGTTTATATCTCTGTCTGTCTGTCTGACTGAAGTTAGAATCCAGCCGCTTGGGGTTGGGGACAAACATAGGCTGTTCAGGGGGAGGCTAAGTTAAATGCCTTAAGAAACATTGTAATACAACCGTTCAGTCAGAGTTTAAAGAAGGAAATAAAATCGGTGTTGTATTGTCCGTAGAGTGATTAAATTCTCCCGGCGTTTATCCGGGTACCTTTATGATTTACTTTGTATATAGATGGAAAGGTCAGTCTGTTCGAGGTTGGAGAGGAGAGGGAGGAAGATAGGGAGATGGGGTGTTGGAGAATTAGAAAATGGAGGAGGTTGGAGGGGAGATAGGGAGACGAAGGGGACACGGGAACGGAGGAGGGAATGGGAAAGAGGGGGAAGGAAGGAGCAGAGAAAATCGGGAAAGGCGGAAGGGGAGTAAAGATGAACGAAGAGAACGGACATTAGGAGAGGAGGGGAAAAGAAGTGGGTGGAATGAGGGTTGGGGGGAGGGGGGAACAAACTATATAGCGGACAAATATTCAAAATGGCCTCCACATTCTTCCTTCTCTAAACAGAGCTGGCATCTCTTATCCACAGGGTGGTAACATATTTTTTGTTCTATGCATCATCATTTATCAATATCTCAAGTCCTGTTGTTATTCCTTTCTTTAAATTCTTCAAGTCTTCCAGGCTTTGTCTTGTAAACTTTATCTTCTATCAATCTACAAAATGCAAAGTCAAATAGCGTTAGATCAGGTGATCTTGGAGAATACGTATACCTATTGGTATAGTGAGGAGAATACCTCACTATACCTATTCTTAACCGATTCACGTATCGAAAGTGGCCTCGAGAAATTCTTGCACATTACTACCGTAATGTTAAGGTGCACCAGACCACACACTAGAAGGTGAAGGGATGACGACGTTTCGGTCCGTCCTGGACCATTCTCAGGTAGATTGTCTTGAAATCGACTTGAGAATGGTCCAGGACGGACTGAAACGTCGTCGTCCCTTCACCTTTTAGTGTGTGGTCTGGTCAAATTACTTTAGCTACGTTATTGTGACTCATCGCCTGCTTAAGGTACACCATCTTGCATCCATATGACTTTGTTGAAATTGTTCATACACACACAACTCATGCACATCTTTGTCCTCTAGCATTTTAACATCATTTTCCAGGTTAACGTAAACGTTAACATACCAAATGATATCAACAAGAACAATATTTTACCTGAAATATAACCATGTTTGTAAAATAGCACTCCAGGTACATGGCCGACCCTCGATCTCCCTATGACACTCTCAATAAAATCAGTATTAATGCTGGAAAGTTTAGTGAGTTTAGCATCTAGCGTCTGGCCACCAACATCGAATAGACAGAGAGAATTCATTAAGTTACGAAAGCCCTTGAAAATCTCAGAATGCAAAACTTGAAAACAAGAAAATTATATTATTCAGAATTTCTTGACCGGACTTAATTGGAAATTTAAGTCTTCATTGCAAATATGACGAGAGAATTAACTTTGGGTTCCTTAAAACCTAATATTTTCTCGATGTATGAGAGAAAGAGAGAGAGAGAGAGAGAGAGAGAGAGAGAGAGAGAGAGAGAGAGAGAGAGAGAGAGAGAGAGAGAGAGACAGAGACAGAGAGACAGAGACAGAGAGATTGCAGGGAGGGGGAAGGTAGGACACACATACCAAAACACACAAAACCAGAGACAGATAAACTAAATAGAAATATAGCATAGCGAGGATCAACCCACCCAAGAGACGAGTCGGAGAGATCAGAAGGGTGACCCACACCCGTAGCAGGAATGTCATCCTAACACCAGACGATGCCTGACCTTCTATCACCTCACACAAGCTGGGAATGTGGGCGACTCGAATATCGTGTGTGGTAATTAATTCTCTCCTGTCTCTTCTGTCACTTCTGCGTTCTTTACCCTCTGACCTTGGTTCTTCCCCTTCACTCACGTTTACCCATGATTCCATACTTTTTCGTTCTCATCTTCATCCCATTTTCTCCGCTATCATCACTACTCTCATCACCTTTATCCTTCTTCCTGTTACAAATATTCTCTTCTATATCCATCCCGTTTCCCATATCTATTCCATCTCCCATATCCATCTCCCATATCCATCCCCCCTTCCATACACATCTCCCATATACACTCACCCATGTGAGTGTATATGAGTGAGATCACACTGAATGAAAAAGAAAGATTATCTTGCTGAATAAATTCTAAGCATTCATACTTAAATTCATTCAGATGTTTAATTTATTCTAAAAGGTCTTCGTTTTTCTTTTGAATAATTAGTTTTAAGTCTGTTTGGTAATATTGTTTTAGGTTTCATTGAGCCGTTGGAATTTTTTTATTAAAGCAGAATTTGTATATATATTTTTTTTTAACTTGTAGGTACGACTCGTTATTACATTCTAGAGCTCCGATTTTTGTTTCTTCAAAATAATGGTAACATTTGAAACCAATTTGAACAAAGAAGGTTTAAATAAAATACATTGAAATGGGAATGAAATATGAATTGGCTTTCCGTGTATAAAATTTGTTTTGCATATAAATTCCTGAATTAATTTGTATTTGTTTTCATCATTTGGTGGACATTTATGTTCAGTTTGTGTTTTCATGGAGTTGCCGTTCGTCGGTCTGTACTTCGTCTGTTGTTGGGTCTGTGTTCCGTCTGTTGTTGGGTCTGTGTTCCGTCTGTTGTTGGGTCTGTGTTCCGTCTGTTGTTGGGTCTGTACGTCCTTCCGTTGGCCGACCTGTTTGTCCGTTCGTGGTGAATCATCACGTTATTTCCTCCAAGTTTCGTCTTCACTAACTCGATCATCTAAGAATCTCTCCTTCCTCCCAAGGACCTTCTTCCCCGTTTCATATCCTAAGAGATTTTCGTCTCTCGAACACTGTCATTTTCCCCAAAACCCACATCATTTCCCCCCAAAACCCACATCATTTTCCCCCAAAACCCACATCATTTTCCCCCAAAACCCACATCATTTTCCCCCAAAACCCACATCATTTTCCCCCAAAACCCACATCATTTTCATCCAAAACCCACATCATTTTCCCCCAAAACCCACATAATTTCCCCCCAAAACCCACATCATTTTCCCCCAAAACCCACATCATTTTCCCCCAAAACCCACATCATTTTCCCCCAAAACCCACATCATTTTCCCCAAAACCCACATCATTTTCCCCCAAAACCCACATCATTTTTCCCCAAAACCCACATAATTTTCCCCCAAAATCCACATCATTTTCCCCCAAAACCCACATAATTTTCCCCCAAAACCCACATCATTTTCCCCCAAAACCCACATAATTTTCCCCCAAAACCCACATAATTTTCCCCCAAAACCCACATCATTTTCCCCCAAAACCCATAATCTAGATGAGACTTTTATTTCCTTAAGTATGTTATTCCACACAAGTCTCTTGTTTCCATAATTTAATATCCTTCATGGTAGAGGTCCTTGCCTTCTAACTTAATCTTAACTTAATCTTAACTTAATCTTCTTTTCGAGGCCCCTGTTGTCAATTTAATCATCTCATTCAAAGCTGTTTCCCTAACTTAATCGATTCCCCGAGACACTTGTTCTCCAACTTAATTATCTCCTTTAGGAATGTTCTCAATTTTAATCATTTCCTTCAAGGATGATGTCCAATTTATTTACTTCATTTAAGGAAGATGTCCAACTTAATTACCACCTTCAAGGATGTGGTCTAACTTAATTACCACCTTTAATGATGTTCCTCCTACATAATCGTTCTCTTCAGGTAAAAGGAGGCTAATTCCCACTCTAAGTTCACTACGGAGATCCCGTCTTGGATCCGTGAGCCCAGCCTCTCTCCTCCTTCTAAGATGAAGATGCTGACAGTAACGATGTGGTTGAAAGGACAAATATGTCGCGATGGACCACCCACAAAAAAGTGAACTTATATGTTAATATGAGAAGACAGCACAAAAGAACCCGCTATCCTTCTCTTTCTCCTCCTTTCTCCATCATTTTCTTCCTCCTATTCCTTTCGTGTATCCCACTCCTCCCCTTCCTCTTCTTCTATGACTCCTTTCCCCTTGCTCTTTCCTCTCCCTTTCTAACGACGGCTCAGCCATCGCGTCGTCAGGGCTAATTAGATATTACGCGGCCCCCTTTGAATTGTGGATGGTATTCTTAATACAAAATGGCGGAAGGTGTAGGCGGGCGTTCATGCACGGAGGTCCTGTAGAGGAGGGAGGGGGGGGGGGTAGGCGTGGGCTGACGCCTTGCATGGAGGTCCTATAGAGGGGAGAGAAGGCGTGGGCTGACGCCTTGCATGGAGGTCCTATAGAGGAGAGAGAAGGCGTGGGCTGACGCCTTGCATGGAGGTCCTATAGAGGGGAGAGAAGGCGTGGGCTGACGCCTTGCATGGAGGTCCTATAGAGGAGAGAGAAGGCGTGGGCTGACGCCTTACATGGAAGTCCTATAGAGGAGAGAGAAGGCGTGGGCTGACGCCTTACATGGAGGTCCTATAGAGGGGAGAGAAGGCGTGGGCTGACGCCTTGCATGGAGGTCCTATAGAGGGGAGAGAAGGCGTGGGCTGACGCCTTGCATGGAGGTCCTATAGAGGGGAGAGAAGGCGTGGGCTGACGCCTTGCATGGAGGTCCTATAGAGAGGAGAGAAGGCTCTCTTATACTGAAAATTTTCAGACATCAGAATTCAATTT